ATCCGAATCTGGTTGCTCATCGACTGAGTCATGAATGTAATCTCTCACCCTTGCTTTGCATTCTATGGGCTCCCATTTCTACGTTTTGCTGCAAAATATTCAGATCCTCATTCTTCTGAATAAGGGAACGTTGCCCCTCATATATTTGAATGGCTCATCATTGCCCATCTGCACGTTTCTTTTCTGAAAGCCGGATTCTAAATTACAACTTAAGCAACAAGATTTGGCTAACTAACATGTTCTCAGATGGAGTTGCAAATCTAATTCCAGCTTGTTCAATATGAAATTCTTCGTCTAGGAATTTTAATCTTCCATTACGACGAATGAAAAGAACATGGAACCTTCCCTTATGCAAATTTCTTCCAGCCCAAAGCAGGTTCTCTGAGCCTTTTTGTCCATCAGTTATTTGAACCATTGGCTCGGGACTAGCTATCATAAAAGACATATATTCAAAAGCAGCAACAGAATTGGGCTCATGAATGTAAGTACGCATAAGCCAAAGCAAGACTGAAACTTGACCATGGCTTCTAAGGTTGCTAATAAAGTCTGCAACCGATTGCAATGAATTATATCTTAGCATCATACTAACAGAGTCGATGGAGACAGCAAAGCAACCCCGGTCTTCTGTAAATCCTTTTCCAAGCTCCAGAATTGAAGATAACAATTTGATGATATCCTTCACATCCTTGCATACATAGTGACAATCTGTCAAAGCTGTCTTATCAGGCCACTAAACAGACGAATCTATTCCTTCCAACCAAAAGGATCAGAGTAACAGTCAAGAAACCGCAAGGATAGTGATATATGAAATCCTCTATGATTTAGCAAACTTATGTAATTTGCATTTGAGTTTAATTGTGGCGCGCCACACGCCAAGTGAGCCCCACCGCAATACATTGGCATTGGCCAACGTGAAAAACTGTGGAGCCCACTTGACACTTGGCGCCCCACTATTAGACTTCTTATGTAATATTTTTTTAGAATGGCTAGCTCTGTATAAGTGCAACAAGTACCAGTCCATGTGCATGGGATTTTCCTGTGCAAACATTGGTAGCGAGAGAGCATAGAAAGTAATTGAAGGCATGGAATGTTGCATGGCTTTGCAGAATATGCTTAATGGTTAATGCAAATGAATGTTCTCCCTCGAGAGACCCATCCCTCAATGATCTACAGATCAATTTGGTCATGGAAAGCCCTAAACAGAATAGAAGCAAGGGAAAAAATATATTGTTCTTTCGCTCGATCAGTATGATCTTGAGGAGCTCGGAGGTCAGAAATCTGGTAGGCGGAGAGAGTGCATATGTCGGAGCCCGTGCGCGGCTCCATGAAGGAAAGAATATTACCTTTGGCCTCTGGGTGTCAGCAATATAAAGTCACGTCAATAGGACTCATTCTCATATAAAATAAGTTAGAAAAATTCACCTCTATTTGACCCAAATCCGTAGGAGGAAGTTTGAAGACGAAGAAGTTTAAAAATGAAGTTTGAAGGAGAAAAAAAATTGTGACGATGGATAGCAAATAGATAATTTAAATCTTATGGTAATTACTTCTCAATTTGGAAAACATCGTTAGAAATCATCCGCAAAGTTATTACAATAATTTTTTTATGATGCAAAGTTGAGTCATTGTTTATATAGTTATAAGTTCTGTTTTTCTAAGAAAAAAATTATTTAATGTAGACTTCTGGCAGTATGTTGAGTCATTCTTTTTCTTCCAAAAAAAAAAATAGTATTTACTTGTTACATGAGTGTAAGATATTGGACAATAAGCTAATATACCTATATTCAGAAGATTTTAGGCCTTCATTGATGTGTATGAACAAAAAAGTATAGAAAAAAATGTTTTTTAAGTTGAACCAAAAGCCAAAAGAACCACTATTTTATAAAAACTTGAACCAAAAGCTAAAGACCAATAAAGTAGCATCTTACATGCTTTGTGTGGACTGTGTACTCAAGTAAAGTCATTATTTTGAACTATTAGAAAGCTGATTTATGTTAACATTAAAAAATTTATGTTATGTGTCTTCATTAATATATCGTAAATATGAAAGTTAAAATCAAATTTATGATTAAATCTTGTCAATTCATTTTCCATTGGTTGTTTGCTTAGGAGAAAAATGTATATTAGGCCCATAGCATGGTAATGAGTTATCCCCATGAAGTTTTGGGTTGAACATCTTAAGAAAAGTATGAAAACATATGTAAATTGTTCTACTACATGTTGTGTATGGTATATTCACTGAAGCTGATGTCTGATTCAAGACTCTTAGGAAAGTGAGACATGCTAACTATCTAATATTGCATGAGATTTATTGATCAATACAATGAATTGAAGAAAAATTTCATCAATTTTTGTGATGTGTATTGTGTTCTTGCTGAAGGGGATCCTTAAGTTAGTGTTATATGTGAGCTATATTGTGCTATTCATGAAAAATTAGACCAACATTTTTTTCTGAAAATTGTTGTCAAAGAGTGCTAAAATAGCATTTTCCATGTTGTGTTTGGACTATGCATTGCAGTTAAGTAATTATTTAGGGCTATCTGATAGTTGATACATGCTAATTTTAAAAATTTATGTCAGGTTTCTTCATTAATATGCTAAATATATGAAGGAAAAATTCTAAATTATGATTAAATCTTGTCATTTGGATTTCATTAGTTGTTTGCATTCGTCTATATTTCAAGCCACTCATCTACCTTAGCATTCTCATCTCAACAACACTTAACTTAGTTTTATACTTCATTTTTAGAGGCTAGCATTCTAAGCAATAAACCATTGTAGGTCTCACCACTATCTTAAAAAAATTTTCTCGAAGTCAAAGTGATAGTTTTTTTTATCACACAATAGGCCCAATGCATTCCTCCATTTCAACCATCTAACTTGAATTACGCTAATAATATCCTCATCTATATCACCATCACTTTGAACAATAGACCTGATATATTTAAAATTTTTACACATTTCAATGATTTCATCACCCATTATAGGAGCTCTACCACCAGATTTATTTCTAATAAAACTACATTCCATGTATTAGGTCTTAGATCTACTCAAACAAAGGCCTTAAGAATTTAATGTAGACCTCCATAATTCAAGTTTTGTTTCTTGAATTCCTTTCCTAATTTTATTTACAAGAAGGATATCATTAGTGAATAGCATACATCAAGGTATATCCACTTGTATATGTTTAATAAGATTAATAAGCGCATCCAAAACTAAAGCAAAAAAGATATGAGCTTAAAGCCAATCTCTGATTTAATTAAACTGAAATAGGAAAATACTTGGTCAATCCTCCTTCCGTTTAAACACAAGTAGCAACTCTATTGTGTATATTCTTAATAACTGGTATATCAGTCACAACAATGATACACCTAAAATATATAGTCTTTTTATACACATTTTTATACCTAGTTTCTATTGCGCTTTAATGAAAGGTATTTGTGTGTTTTTCTTGCAGGTAAAATCAAATTGATGGAAAATGCTAAAAGAAGTGAAAAAAGGTCAAATTTGGAGCAAAATGAAGATAAATGCAAAAATGAATTGGGGCGCCTAAGCGTCAGAGGCTCAGCGCCTAAGCACCACGTACCTCACGCTTAAGCGCAAGAAGTAGTTACTTGATGAATTATTTAATTTGAGCAGATTTTTGAAGAGGTTTTTGAAGCAACCATTGATAAAAATGTGGGAAATAGTCCATGAACACAAAAATTCATTCAATTGACTTATGAGGAGGCAACTTCTAGAAGTTTCATTGAATGGAGACACCTTTTTGAAGAGACATCAAGGCACCGCTTGGATTTTTATAAGAAAAGACTTAGATTTTCCAAGAGAAGGGGCCAGCCATCATCAAACTTCACATTCCATCGCCGGCGCCGTCGGCGGCCACCCATTTTTTATTTTATTTTATTTTATTTTGAGTGTTAGTTTGTATTGTGAGAGAAGAAAGAGAATTCAAAGGAACTTCAAGGAATTTGGTGGAGAGAATTTAAGATAAGTGTTTATTTTATATGTCTACAATTGGTTTTAATTTAATATTCTTGTTTGTGTGCATAATTTCTACTTTTAAAACCCCGTATAACAAGACACCCAATTAGAAATACTCTGATTCACAACTTTTCCAAAATACATATGACATTTGTTAATGCTAAACTAAAGGCTTCAGATAGATTAAAAATCCTCCAAAAGTTGATGTAATGCTTTAATAGAATTTTTTTTAGAGTTAGAGAACAAAACGACATCCTCGACATATGCTAAGTACGAAATCAAGACCCTGGAATTATTATGAAACTGAAGATTGGGCACTTGTAGAAACTTGAGGTTGATTAATCTGAAAAAATAGTTAAATACAAGAATAAATATGGTCGACGAAAGTGGGTCACCTTGCTTTATTCCACATCCGACATTAAAGAAGTCATGAGTCTTACCATTGATAAGGATACTATAATAATTAGAAATAAGCCAATTATAAATAATATGATGGAAATAGGGGGAGAATCCCCTAGCTTTAAGCACATCCATAATAAAGTTCCAACTAATAGAATCGTAAGCCTTCCAAATATCAAGTTTGGTGACAAGTTTGGTGATCATGCAAGTTTGGTGATCATGTTGCCACCACGACATTTTTTGTCAATATCAAGGAGCAATTCTTGAGCAAGTAATATGTTATTCGTAATTCCGCGGCCTTTGATAAATGCAGATTGGTTTTGAGAGATTAGAAAATTTAAATGAGGTTTGAGACGTTTGACAACGATTTTACTTATAGCCTTAGAAATGAACGAAGTAAGAGACATGGGATGGAAATGCTCCCAACTTGTTTTATGTGCAGATTTGGAAATAAGAACCATCGTAGCAGAAGAGAAATATTTTCCAAGGAGTTCACCTTTAAAGAAACTTTGAATGGCTAGAACCACGTCATTTTGAACTATATCCCAAGCTTTGATGTAAAAATCGCAAATAAAACCATCCAGACCCGGGGCTCTAATAGAATTAATATCTGAAATAGCCTAAAAAATTTCTTCAACAGAACGAATATCACAAAGTTGTAGCCTTTCAGTATATTCGCGAACCTCATCAAAAAGACTGTTGTCAATGACACCATTGTTCTGGCTAGAAATAAACAAATTTTGAAAATAGTGTACAATGCTTTCTCCCAAAGCCTCATTTCCCGTGATCCAATTACCACTATCATCTTTAATACGAATAATATTATTTTTTGCCCGATGTTGTTTAATACAAGCATGAAAGCATTTCGTGTTTCGATCCCCTTGTGCAAAATGAACCTCCCTTGCCTTTTGTTGCAAAAGTTCCTCCTCGACACGAGAGCCAACCAAAAGTTCAGAGTGAGCATCTTGTAGCTGAATAACAAGATCCTCAGAAGATTCATCAAAATTCTGTAAAGAGAGTACCTTTTGTTCCGCCCTAGTGACCCGAGCATGGACATCACCGAATACGCCCCAATTCCAAGCTCTTAAAGCAGAAGCAACCTTCTTATGTAATTTCCAAAGGCGGAACCAAGCATTACCCACATCAAAGACATTCCAATTATCAGCAACCAATCTAAGAAAATCATCATGTTTCCACCAAACATTTAAATACTGAAAATGATATTTAGAATCTTTTTTGAATAAATCAAAAGAAAGAAGAAGGGGTTTATGATCCGAACCCGAGATACAGAGATGTTGAATATGAGAAAAGCCAAAAAAAGAGAACCACGCTTGGTTGACAAAGCATCTATCAATGCGTTCAAAAACCTTACCTCTCTTCCAAGTATATTTGGGGCCTGCAAACCCCATATCCGACAAGCCTGCATCCACCATAGTCTTGCCAAACTTATCAATTAAGGATGAGTCGGCCCTTCGACCACCCAATTTCTCAATATGATGGAGAATCATATTAAAATCTCCCCCACCATCCATCTATCCATATTCAGATTTCTCATAGCACTAATTTTGTGTCATAGATCATACCTTGCTGAAATCCTTGTGTTAGCATACACAAAAGTAAGCCAACCTGAAAAATCATCCAAAGCAAAATAAGTGTGTACAATTTTTTCATCATCAACAATAATATTGAGAGTTTATATGCTTCCTCCAGAAAAGCCAAATCTTATTAGAGCAGTTGCAAAAAGTGGAAAATTGCTTAAATTTACCCATAATACACGTGTGGGTAGATCCAACAGAAGGTTCCAAAATAGATAAAATACTAATTCTATAGATCCTAGTTAATAATTTTAATCTACTAAGAGAGTTAGGACCCGCAACTCCCCTGATATTCCGAATCAGAATATTAAACATTGCTAGACAAAAACCCCTTACTAGAAGATCTAGTTCGGGATTGTCTAATCTCACTATCATAATAAGAGTAATTCAAATTCTCAACATTTTTCCCAACTCCATGGTTGGCCAATTCATAACTCCCTTTTTTCCTTCGCCTCCGTGATTTTTGAATCTGCCGCTCCTCCTCAAGTTTGTTAGATACTTCAGCCACAGGTAAAGTGCCACCATTTATATTAGCATTCTGATCAACCATGACCGACATTTCATTGCCCTAGGGCAAGGTAATAGAAGTGAAGTGTCGGGATTTTCATCTGAATGCCTTATCCTAGCTTCAACAACATTCAAATTTCTTTCAGAAAGATGCTCAACATTAGTTTCAACATCATTATTCATAATCTGCAAACTTTGCATAGAAATATTTTCCTCATGCACTACCGTTGTAGGAGCCAGACCTGGAGGCAAGGAAATATCATCCTCTTGAACCACCGAAGTCAAAACCATAGGTGGCCTGTCATGGCCCCCGTTCCTCTTCCATAGTTCTGGATGAATATGATAATAGTGGAGTGAATCGTGCCCAAACATTCTATAATGACCATAGTATTGAGGGTGTTGTTCCAATTGTACATGTTGCCAATACTCATTATGTGCAGAACCAATCCACATGTCATCAAGAGGTGGCAAAGTGACATCTCTCTCTATAAGAATTCTAGCCATAGAAGGCCTAGTTAAATTATATGTAGGAGCATCTAGCTTTAAAGGCTTGCCAAACATCGCAACTATGGAGAATAAAATTTCATGATTAAATAAGTGAAATTTCAACCCCGACAAACGAAGCCAAACCGAAATTATAGGTAGCTCGGCCTTCGGATCAAAATGTACGGACCACTTAAGAACCTTCATGAATACATCATCAAACCTTATAATACGCATCCCAAAAATTCTAGCATAATATTCCTCACTCGACAGTTGAATCAGAATGTGTCGGCCATCCAAAGGACCAATTTTCCAACCTCTCACAAGATTCATAAGTTCAAAATGCTTCCGAATAAACTCAAGGTTTGGAAGTCCATATATATATATATCCATTTTCAAAGCTTTTACATTAAAACCAACTTTAAAAATTGCATATTATTATTTCACCACCAATTATTTATATTTATAAAATTTTCCCTTTTGATTCTCCAAGTACATCTTTTGTCACTCGTTTTATAGTATTTGTTACTTTATCCCACATAGAATTAACTTCTTCAGAAAAACCCCAAATCCTGGAATCTTGAAATTTGCATATAAATAGGATCCCATAAAGACAGGGATTTATAAAAATGCTAGCCAAGGAGTTTGACTTGGGATTTCAGGAGAGGAAGCCACAATGCAACTCCTTCCTGACTTAGAAAGGCAACTGAAATAGTCTAAGAATGGTGCAGTGAAGCTTGTTGTCACAAAATGCCAAAATATTTTATTTTCTATTCTCAATTATAAGTTGTATTAGGTAGAAGAATTATTAGAGGACATTACATCTCACCCAAGTAACAACCATGGTAGTCTAAGGTTTGTGCAATTATGCTTCGTATCTTATAGATTAAAGATTTTTGAAAACTTAAAGAAGATGATGTTATACTTCGTATCTTTAAGGTCAAGAGTTTGAGGATGGTGTAGTTATGCTTTGTGTCATATAGACTAAAGAGTTTTTTAAAAACTTTATGCTGATGTTATGCATCATATCTTTCAGGCCAAGAATCTAAGGATGGTACAACTATGTTTCCTGTCCTCTAGGATGAAGAGATTTTTTTAAAGCCTTAAAATGGTGTTATTTTGCTTTGTGTATTTAAGGATGATAGTCTAAGGATGATATAGTTAAGCTTTATGTCCTATAGATTAAAGAGTTTATTAAAAGCCTATGCTTTGTATCTTTAAGGTCAAGAGTCTGAGGACGATACAATTCAGCTGCTCACCCTATACACTAAAGAGTTTTCTAAGGCCAAGAGTCAAACGATAGTGCAGTTAACTTTTGTGTCTCTTATACTTGCTCTGCATCTTATAGACTGGAGATTCATTATAAAATCCTAAAGATGGTGTTGTTGTGCTTTGTGTCTTTAAGGTCAAGAGTTTAAGGATGGTGTATATAAGCTTTGTGCACTGACAAGCATCAATTTTACGTGACTTTACCTGACATTATCTCTACATTTTACATGTAAATTTTATGCATTTATAATATAATTACATCTGAGAAAGGTATTTTATTCATGTTGTGCAAGATATAGGAAGTGAATACGAATAAGTTTGAATGAGAAAATCTAGCAGAATAGTGCCCTGAAGTGGTGTGACCATGCCACTTATTGGACATGACCAGCATGAACAAATTGGAAATGGGGTGACCATGCCATAAGGCATATTAGGGTGGCATGATCATGCGGGCCTAGGTAGTCTACCGGCGTAATCACGCTGAAAATGCACATGACCAAGCCAATGAGCTGGAAACAATTTAGGAAGGAAATTTTTTGGCTCACACTGTGATTCTTGCTATAAAATCAAATCTTAGAGCTTCTTGGAGGAATTTATGCAAAAGAGAAGGCTTGGAGGCTGAAATAAGAGAGTTTGGGAGAGATTTTGTGGGTCTCTTGAGGTTTTTCTTCCTCATTGAGTAGAAACCTTTGAGGGGGAGTTTTTTTTTTCTTTGTGAGTTGTGAAGAGTTTGTATGAGAGGGAAAGGTGATACCTTTATAGAGGAAACAATTTCTTGTAAGGTTTAATATTTATGTTGCTTGCAATGGATTTTCATATAGTGTTTTTATCTATGGTTTTCTCTGTAATGAGCAGTTATGCTTTTCTTCATGTCTCTGTGATGTGGGGAGTAGTGGATTTATTGTGGATTTTCTGTATTTTCTTTCATTAATCATTTTCTTATTCTTTCATGGTCTATGTTGTTGGTTAACCTCCAAACTTAATTTACTCCTAGTTTGGCCAACTAAGAAGTCAAAATATTTTGTGAAATTATGACCTCTAACTGTTGAGTAGTGGAAACAAAGAGCTAACCACAGAATTCTGAGAGGATAGACATATTACAATGGAGTTCTACAATCATCCCAGAGAATTAAAAAAGTCATGTGAAATTCCATGAGGATTGAGGACGCCTCAACTTCATGGATTCTAAGATTTTTTTTTTAATTTAAACATAAGAATGAGGAGTGCTATGTCCCTGGTTGACAATAATCACATAGAAAATCATTTAATAAAAATCATGATCACCACGAACCCCGAATCACAAATGAGCAAGCCTCATCTATCTTGAAAGAGCTCATGAACTGCCCTTCTACTTTCTACTTTTCTTTCCATTGCTAATGCTATGTATGTTGTTTTGCTAAGACCTTAAGACTTAAAAACCTCCTTTTGCTAAATTCTAAGATAGGTTAACTAAACTAGTAAATAAGAGATTTTACTGTGGAAACAAATATTACATTTTCTCCATGGGATTGATACGTGTTACTCTTGAACTACAATACTACTTGACACGTGTACTTATGTTGTACGACTAACATACATACTGGTAAGCATACCGACTTACTCCACAATGAGTTTTTGGCGTTAAATATTTGCTGCCACTTTAGGAAAGCTTTAGTTGAAAAACTTAGGATCTATCTTCGACACTTATATCTTCTTACTTTTATTATGTGTTTTTATTTTTTGTTGCATCTATATTTCTATTGTGTTTATTTACAAGTGTTGTAAAGTTAAAAATTGCTGAAAAATATATATATGAAAAATCCAAAAAGCCAAAAATATTTTTCTCTAAATTTTTTTCTATTTCCTTAGCTTTCTGTAGAATATTGTGTGTCACACTTGCATGTTATCATGTTGATTGACTTGTGCATGTTAGTGTGCTTGTTTGATGCATAGTCTTAATTTGTCTTTTTCATATTCAGGGGAGCTGAGGCTGACCTCACCCCTTTTGTCCATGAGATTGATCATATATTTTGAAATCTTAGGAGATCACACTTAACTTCTGAAACACTTGTTGAGTTCCCTTACCTTTTAACAACTTAGGGATAATTCCAAGCCTTCTACTCAAGAGATTCACATGAGCATCAACTACCCCACTGTTGAGGCTAATGACTTGACCCGCAATTAGGTAGATTTTTATATTAAAAAAGATGGCAAAGAATTTGATCTAATTTATATTTAGTTGTTAGTGTGAATAAATGAAATGTTATAAAGTATAAAATAATAGTTTTCACACTAGATGTACTACGCAAGCATACATATTTTTTCAAGTAATATAAAGTTTTCTATAAAAACCAAAGTATCCATCCTACAGGGAAGCTGTAATTCTTTGAATAGAATTTTAGTGAAACTTATACTTAAAACTGCAGAAATTAATCTAGAAAATATAATAGAAAATTCAAATGTAAAGTAAAGCTATTAAATTCCTACAAGTTCTGTTTAAAACTAAATATAAATGCAAAAATTCTAAACTATGCTAAAAGTAAAAGAGTGTTTTAATTATGAAAAGAATTTTTTCCCTTACAATGAGTTCATAATCTATGTTGGAATCAAAAGGCTTAAAAGTTTAAATGATGTATTGTGATGAATAGGAGCATATCTATTCTTTACCCTCTCCCGAGTGCATAAAGAATATTAGTTCC